TCTGAAAATAAAAGATCTGAATGATAAGTTAACTGAGATTTGTGATGAAACACAAAAGTACCAGTTTCTACGCAAAGAATTAGGCATTCAACAACCTCAACGACCTCAAACTGCATCTTATGTCAATATGTCTGAGATATTTGGTCGTGAAAAGGAACAGAATATTTTGATAACAAAGTTGTTGGGTGATAGTAGTAGTGAAGAAGAAAAGGGGCTCCTTATCATCCCTATTGTAGGGATGGGAGGCATGGGTAAGACCACTTTGACCCAACTAGCCTATAATGATGACCAAGTCAAATCCCGTTTTGATATGAGGAAATGGGTTTGTGTTTCAGACCCTTTTGATGAGATTAAGATTGCCAAAGCCATTATTGGTAAAGACGCCCCAAATTTAAATGAGTTGGATGAGGTCTTGCAATGTATGTCTGAATCCATCCAGGGCAAAAGGTTTCTCCTTGTCCTGGATGATGTATGGACCGATGATCGTGAAAAGTGGGAAAAATTAAAGGTACCATTAATGCAAAGTGGTGCTCAAGGCAGCAGAATATTGGTGACCACAAGAAAACATGAGGTTGCTATTATGATGAGAGCAACAAGAAACACGATCAATCTGGGAGGGTTGAGTGATGAATATTGTTTGTCAATCTTCAATCACATGGCCTTTTGGGATAGGGGGGATGTACAAGAGTTTGGAGATATTAGCAAGGAAATTGTAAAGAAGTGTAAAGGTTTGCCTCTTGCTGCAAAGACTTTAGGTAGTCTCATGCGTAATAAGACAACAAAGGAAGAATGGAAAAAAGTTTTGAATAGTAAGATATGGGCTCTAAAGAAGGTCGTGCAAGAAGTTTTCCAACCCTTATTACTAAGTTATTATGATTTGTCCCCAACAATTAAATGTTGCCTTTTATATTGTGCTACTTTTCCTAAAGATTACACGTTTGAACGAGATCGTTTGATTGAACTTTGGATGGCACAAGACTATGTTATTTCGAAGGGGAATAAAGAAGAGGAAACAACAGGTGATGCAGTTTTTGATAACTTAGTGGCACGGTCCTTTTTCCAGGATTTCAAGAAAGATCAAGACAGTGGAACAATTACAGGTTGCAAAATGCATGATATTGTGCATGACTTTGTACAATTTCTCACCAAGAATGAGTGTCTGATTATGGATCACACAGACTGTGCTACCGGCAAATCAAAGGTATTGGGTGATAAGCTTCGTCATTTGACCTTGAGATATGTTCCTGAAGGTCCACTTCCACTTTTTATCTCATCTTACAATTGCAAAAATCTTCGCACACTCGCAACTTTTGATTCAAAAATTACTACCATAGACCCAAATTTAATTTTACAATTGAAATGTCTTAGGACATTAAATTTGAGTCGTAATTCCATCAAAGAACTCCCAGAAGAGATTGGTGAATTGATACATTTGAGGCATATTGATTTGTCTGGCAATGATTTGAAGAAATTACCGGACACTATTTGTGGTTTGTACAATTTGTCTACCTTGCGCCTTGTGCTGTGCTATTACCTTAAAAAGCTGCCTGAAAATATGGGAAACTTGATTAACTTAAAGCATCTTTATGTTGAGGGGTGTGGTGATCTAGAGTCGTTGCCGAAAGGAATAGAGAGATTAACAAGTTTACAAACACTAGATGTGTGTCGGTGTGGTGGCGACAACGATGAAGCATTCCAAATTGGGGATCTGAGAAAGTTGAACCTTGAGGGAAGTCTGGAAATACAACTTGTGGGGGATGCGACAGATAAGAGAGAGGTTGAGAAAGCACAATTGTGGGACAAAAAGCTATTTCATCTCACCGTTCGTTTTAAAAGGCAGAGGAACAGTAGTAGTAGTAGTGTAGAAATACTGAATGCCTTGCGACCTCATCCAGATTTGGAATCTTTAAAGATTTTGTTTCATAATGGCACCACGTGGCCCAATTGGATTCAGTCTCTAAAAAATTTGAGATTCCTTACTCTTGTTGTGGGGACACAGTGTGAGCTTTGGCCTCTTGGGAAATTGGAGTTCCTTGAAACACTGAGCATATGGTCGATGGAGGGAGTGAGAAAGGTCGGTGTTGAATTTTTGGGATTAGAAGATCAAACCTCATTCAGAATCAGATCACCACCCCTGATATTTTTCCCAAAATTGAAACGACTCTGCTTTGACATGATGCGGAATTGGGAAGAGTGGGAAGGCGTTGAAGAGTGGACGAAAGAGGATTCTGAAATTACAATCATGCCATGCCTTTCTAAGTTAGAAATGAAATGGTGCCCTTTACTAAAAGCACTGCCAGACTTCCTCTTTAAAACACCACTGCAGACTCTTCGCATCACTGGATCTGAGAGACTTTTAGAGCGTTACCAAGAAGGCAATGGAGAGTGGGCCAAGATTTCTGCTACGAACCCAAACATCCGCATAAAAAGAAGGTAATTGAGCTCTAGCAATCTCTTATTTACATACATATGTATCAATTCCAAGTATCATCATATTTGTTTCCTTCAAAATCTTCAGGGAATGGTGAATCGCTAGGCACAGTTATGAAAACATCTGTCTCCGTAGCATATATAATCTTGAAGAGGATTTTTCAAATGAGTATGAAAGGTACTTTCCTTTTTATGTTTTGTACAAAAAGTAAAACTTATTCCTCTTGGCCAGCTGCAGTGCTTTGA